TTTAAATGCTTATGTGTTTTTATACAGTAGTCTGTTATGGTGGCACTGCAGGTTAAACCTCAGAAGCCTCTGTGCTGCAAGGTCAGAAGACCAGCAGTCGTAAGATCGAATCCACGTGACGGAGTGAGCTCCCGTCACTTGTCCCAGCTCCTGCCAACCTAGCAGTTTGAAAGCATGTAATAATGTGAGTACATAAATAGGAACCACCACAGTGGGAAGGTAACAGCGTTCCGTGTCTAGTCGCACTGGCCATGTGACCATGGAAACTGTCTTCGGAGAAACACTGGCTCTACAGCTTGGAAATGGGGGTGAGCACCATGCCCTAGAGTCGGACACGACTGGACTAAATGTCAAGGGGAACCTTTATCTTTGCCCCTTATGAAGTCAGTGATTACATGCTACAGAATAGACCTGAGAGTGCATAGTACTGTATAACAAAGCTATTTTTAAGTGTTTGTTGCATGCTGCATTCAGCAAATTAAGGAAACTGCTCTGTGTCCTCTCTGTTGTGACTTCTATCACATAGTGGCTTCTGCTGTTCTGTTCATTCAGTCAGATTCCAAGGTGCATATATTTGTCACTATGCTCTACAGTTCAGTTTGAGATCTTTAATTGCAGTGCATGGGTTGCTTACATTTTACTGATTAACAATAACTGTGGTTTCTTTTCCATCTCCATAAATCTTTTCACTAAGGATTACTATGAACGTAGCTTTCTTAGCTATGTTTATGACTTACTTCATTGACTTTATTAAGTTTTGCAGACCCTCTCAATTGTCAGCTACTAATACTATATTGTCTGCATACTGGATGCTGCAGATAGCCTCTGTTTACAGTGATACCATCATCTGACTCAAGAAGTGCTCTAAATATGTTCTCAGATAACAAATAAAAATATAAGTGGTCGAAATATACATCCTTGTCATACTTCTCTTTGTATCTCCATGTTTTGGCTACGTGATCTTCAACAGTCATTGGAGCTTTTAGTCATGGGTACAAGCCAACAATTTTACAAGACATCTATTTTTATATTGTATAATTCTTTGGGATATTTTAAAGAAGCTCATGATATATGCCAAGGAAAAAGCACTTGCTGCTGCTTTTATTCCAGAAGAATCCAGTCTCCTCACTGTGGTTTGTGAAATGCTGCTTCCTGCCACTGTCTCAAAGATGTGAGAAAGAGTGTGCCAACTTCTCCTTTATATCCCCATTGATTCTCATTCTTTTTCAAGATGCACCAGCTGAATAGGGCTCTGCTTTTCATATATTTATTAGTCGAAAGTCTCTACTCGGCTGATTGCATTTTCATCCAACTGTACAAGATTGTGGGCTGTGTTTAGTAGAATTTAAGTCTTCATATGTATCCTGAACCTATTATTATTATTGTTATTGTTGTTATTGTTATTAGTATTAGTATTAGTATTAGTATTAAGTTCAGTATAAAGAACAGTAACATTACTAATTTACTGCTGTAGTACCTTGTGATGTCTCTGCATAGTGACTGCACAGTGGAATGAGATGTTCATCATCATGTGGGTTAGTGTGAGTGCTATCTCTTTAATGCTGGCAGTGGCAGTGACTGTGTTGGGATGAAACAACAACTGTGACCTTATTTTAAGTGATTGCCTCAAGGAGTGTCAAACAGGATGCAGGGACAGGAGGGGAAGAGAGCGTTCTTGGAAATTAACGAGCTAAAGTCCTTGGATGAATAGACATATGCACTCAGCAAGGAAAAGAGGGATGGAGAGTAAATCTCCTTGTGCATCTCTCTCTCTCTCTCTCTCTCTCTCTCTCTCTCTCTTATCTCTTTTAATGCACTTAAGTCTTTTTGTGCCTCTCTAATCTGATTGAGGATGCCTAATACCTCTTCAACCTATGCAGCCACCTTCCTAACAAAGACTGAGGACAGCATGCTTATTTGCTCACGAGTCTCCTTGGTAAAAAGAAAAAAAATTGGTGCCATTCCCTCAACTGCTATTTCCTATCATTTTGCTATATCAAATTTCCCTGTAACTATATTCTTCAGGCGTGCGACGGGAGTTGCCTTGCTAGCTGGTGTATGTTGTGTAAATGCTATGAAGTTAAACAATCTTGAGAAGATTTTGTTTGTTTGTTTCTTCCACCCGTCTAGCCGGGCAACTCCGGGTGGTTTACAGCATATAAATGCCACCATGTATCATTTAACATCACAAAAATTAGAAATAAAAAAATGCAAATAAGCAATAAACTCAGAACATAAAAATACATCAAAATAAAATATTTGAAAACATTCAAAGCAATTAAAACATTTAAGATGGTGGACATGGGACAGACAGGCTAATTAGACTCAGCTGAGCTTGCAGGTATGGTGTTTTTGAATGCCTGCCTAAATAGTTGGGTTTTTAGTGACTTTTTAAATATCGCCAGTGAAGGGGCCAAACGAATTGAAGAGGGGAGTTCATTCCACGGCCCATGAGCAACTGCTGAGCAGGACCGGTTTCTCATCTTCTCCCTCCAGGTCTCTCTCGGGGTTAGCATCCTTGTAGGACAGGCAGATATTGTTGGAAGCAGGCATTCTGCCAGGTAATAAGGTCCCAAACTATTTAGGACTTTGTAGGTTAAAACTGTCACCTTGAAGCTGGCATAGAAACGGACAAGTAACTAGTGTAAGGCAGCCAGAATTGCTGTGATAGGTAGATACTTATTCACTCCACTCAAAAATCACTGCCATGTTCTGAACCTGTTGACATTTCCGTGACAGTCTCATAAGTAACCCCATGTAGAGAGTGTTGCAGCAGACTAATCTTGAGACTACCAGTGCATGGACCAACATGTGAGGGACCCAGTGTCAAGGTAGGGATGCACCAAGGCAATCCGCCTCAGATGAAAATAGGCAGAGCGGACTACAGACACTATCTGGGACTCCATTGATAGTGCTGGGTCCAGAAGTACTCCCAAGCTGCAAACCTCATCCTTAGCTGAGAGAGTAGCACTGACAAAAGAGAGGGAGGCACCCAATCCACAGACAGGCAGTGCACCCACTTGAAGGATCTCCATCTTGTCCAGGTTCAGCCTCAATCTGTTGGCCTCCATCCACTCCAGTACCACAGTCAGGGAGTGCCCAAGGGACAGGACAGCATCCACTGCAGAAGGGTGGAAGGAGAGATAGAGCTGCGTTTCATCAGCATATTGGTGACATGCTACTCCAAATGTCCGGATGACTTCCCCTGGCAGCCTCATATAGATGGCCTCATCTATTAAACAGCAACAGGGAAATGATCAATCTACAGTTGAGAGTCCAAGGGGTGGAGGCCATCTCCTCAAGCTATACTCTCTGAGGGCAATCCTCTAGGAAAGACCGGCTCCAGGACAAAGCTGGGCGACCGATCCCCAGTCCAGAGAGCCTCCCCAGGAGGATACTGTGGCTGACGGTATTGAAGGTTGCTGAGACGTTGAGGAGGATCAGCAGGGACTGATGTTGGCCTCCCTCAGAAGGTCATAATGCAGAGCGACCAATGCTGTCTCTGTGCCATGACTGGAAGGGATCGAGGGCACTGGTTTCATCCAACAATGCCTAAAGATGGTTGGCCACCACCCTCTCCACCAGCTTGCTTAAAAAAAGGAACATTGGCAACAGGACAATAGTGGTTACTATCATCAGCCACCAAGTTCGTTTTTCCCCCAGATGGGCCTGATAAGTGTCTTCTTGAAGATTTGGGGGACCCAATTCCTCAAGGAGATACATATTAATGACAAAAGTGGTCAATTCCATTATTATCAGCCTGGCAGCTTTTAAAAACCAGGCCAGGCAAGAAACTAGGGAGGTTGTGGTGGCCCTGCAGCGATCTAGCACCTTGTCAATCTCAGATTATGAAACAAGCTGAAACTGATGTAATATGACTGGACAAGCTGTTGCACTAGACATCTCAACCTGAGTCTGGCCGCTGCATTCTGCACCATTTGGAGCTTCCGCATCAACCTCAAAGGTAGCCCCATGTAGAGCGCATTACAGTGGTCTAATCTCGAGATTACAAGCGCATGTACCAAGGTGGTGAGTGCCCCAACATCAAGATAGGGACGCAGCTGGGCAAACCGCCAAAGATGGAAATAGGCGGAATGGACCACTGACGCCACCTGAATTTCCATGGTGAGCCCTGGATCCAGATGGATCCCCAAGCTGCAAACCTCACTCTTCGCGGTGACAGTCACCCCCCCCCCAAATGAGAAGGAGTTTATCAAACCGCTGATGGTGGGGCTGCCCACCTCAGGACCTCCGTCTTGTTCAGGTTCAACCTCAGCCCATTTCCCTGCATCCATTGCAGTACAGCCTCCAGCGCTGAAGGGACAGAACGGCATCCTCTGCAATTGGTGAAAAGGAGATGTAGAGCTGGGTGTCATCAGCGTACTGATGCGTACTTAAATACTAATTTAAGTATTACCTAGATCAGTGCTTCCCAATCTTAGGTCCCAGATATTCTTGGACTACAACTCCCAGAAACCATAGCCAGGAGAGCTTATGGTGAAGGCTTCTGGGAAGGCTTTTTCGTCCAAGAACATCTGGGAACCCAAGGTTAGGAACTATTGACCTAATGTAAATGACAAAGAAAATGATCTATGTGATCTCAGAATGTGTTTGATGTATTTTGTCCAGTTGCAGCTGTAGTACTAGAAGTAGTACTTGTCTCTTCTATAACAATCGATGTCCCCACCTATCTTTCTTGTTGAAAAAGAAAGAATTATATGCTGTCACATCAACTTATGGCAACCCTTTTCAGGGTTTTCTAGGTACAGAGCACCAGAATTGTGTGCAGTTTGCCCAAGGCTAAACAGGCTGGCTTTCCTCTTGGGATGCACAGTGAAGAGTCAAACTCCCAATCTAGCTCCTCAGCCAATGCCTAACTCATGGAGCTATCTAGCCAGCATATCCTTTTTATATCTATTAAGAAATAAAGGAAAAGTGTTCTTTCTCACTTCAGAATCTGGTACAAGATTCTCAGGGTTTTCTCCCTCTTTTGCTTACAGGAGTTCGCCTTGACCGAGTTCGTGGAGGCCGCCAAAAGTACAAAAGAAGACTGGACTCAGAGAGCAGCACTTACCTGAGCTTACAGATCCCACCACCAGCCAAAAAGCCACGTAGGTGATGCTCTTGTCACACTCTTTGCTACATGATGGGCCAAGTTCTCAATTTCCTTTACTCAAGATAGCACTGTAGGTTTGCTGTCCTTGAATATTTCCTAGCAGGAAACAAACCTGAAACTTAGTCATGTAGGGATTATATAGCACTATTTAAATAGCATCTTTTAAGACTGTAACCTTCAACTATGTCCTCACAATCAAGATTTTCTGAAAGGGAAGGCAACCAAATATAAGAGAGGCCATGGGCTTCCCCAGCCCTTTAAAGCTTTGCACTGAAGATCCTTGTCTTCACCAATATGATGGACTAGGAGCATTTTCCTCTATAGAGGCATGTCACATGATTATGTGGAAAATGTGGCCCTCCAGACACTGTCAAATGGCAGCTTCCACCAACCCTCGCCAGTACAGCCAATGGAAAGGAATACTGGGAGTTTTAGTCCAGCAATGTCAAAAGGGCAACACTTTGGCCATCCCTGCATGAGAAAGAAGCAGTCCTGAGTTTGCCAGGTGTTGTACACTCAACTGGAAACTATAACTAGTCAGGATCCCTGGCACTCCTTTGAACTGCATAGCTGGAAGGAACCCTATGGATCATCAAATCCAATCCCTGTCAAGGGGTCTCAAGTAGGGAATCGTACTCTTACCTCTGGCTCCATAGCCGGATACCTAAACCACTGAGCTATCCAGCCATTCTGGTAAATGTACTTGTCATTTTAATGCATCCTAGGTGACATACCAGGGGTTGCTGAAGAGATTTTGGTGCTTGAGGCAGCAAAAAACAAGCTTGTATCTAGTTACAGTAAGTGATTAGATTAGCAACTGGATCTTATTTCAATTCAGTAGTTCAAAACAACAACAACAACAACAACCAACCTCCAGTTTATGAATATCCTGCTTTTGTATTCACAATTCAAAATGCTGGGAAATGGCTTGATATTGCCATTTCACACCACTTCCATTCACACTTCTCAAAAAAAAACAGCTATGACAGTTGCATTGTGTTTGGATGAGAAGTAGTTAACTGATGAAAAAAGGAGTAATCTTCTGGTATCCTGTAGACCATCTTGGTTTCTGCCTTTGGTTTTGTCAGGTGCTGTCAAGCCAATTCTGTAAAGCTTGGCTTTCTTTTTCCTGATGACAGTGCAGGCATGAAGTTGTGCAGCAATATCAGATCATTTCTTGGTATTTTGAATTGAGGATACAGAAGCAC